TCACAGGTCATGAAAGTCTCGGCCTAAGGCCTGCCAGCGAGCCGGGAGCCCACCAGGGACTGCGAGCAGCTGACCATCAGCCAGGGACGGAAGGAAGGAGGGAGGCAGAACCTCACCGCCGGCAAGCGCCAACCTGGAAGGCTTGTGTTCCCGACCAGAGCATGGTCACCCTATGACTGCAGATCTGGGTTATCCCAGCAATCCCCTGAGCCACTGAAACGTTTCAAAGCAGTGTAACAAGTGACAGTTTTTCTCAGCTGCCCAAATCTTACTGATGAAGAGAAACACATTTGTTCCACTACACGCATTCCCCAAAACCTGGGCCCAAATAATCGATACTGACAATTCACTGGACCCACTAAATCTGCGTTCCCCAACCTCCAGGCCTCCGCCTGGCCCTGGTCTGTGGCCTGTTAGGAAAAGAGCCACGTGTCACTGCCTGAGTTCTGTACCACCCTCCTGCCACCACCCCGCCCCTGCGGTCTGTGGGAACATTGTCTTCCATGAAACTGGTCCCTCCCTGGTGCCAAAAAGGCTGGGGACTGCTGCACTAAACCACTCAACAGCCCAGCCCTCCAGGGTTAAGAGACGAAACGTTCTGTCTCAATATTAAGAACTGAAGACACACCTTCTCCCCGTCTCGGAACCAGAGCAGAGTGGGATAGCCGCGGACCTGGTTTCCCGAGCAGAGCTCATAGTGCTGCGTACAATCGACCTGAAAGCAGAGCACAGTCACCCGCTCCGTCAGTTTCTTCACGAGCCTTCCTGCGAAAGGGACTACCGAACAGCTTGTGCTTTAAAAAAATGCATCTATTTTTTAAGCAATTCAGAATCTGTAGCCATTTCTGCCAGCAAGGTGCAGTATTTAAAGAGACTTTTCCTAAAAGCTGCCCCAAAATACACAGAGCTACAGGGAGTGGGGTGAGATTTATTCTAGAGACGAGATTTATTTTAGCTCAGTTAAAAATGCCGATTTTTAGGAAGCAACATTTTAACTTGAACAAGTTAGGAGCTAGAGTGAGGGACCTGGCCTGATATTTGGGGTGGGGGTTTAGCCTGGCTGTCAGCAACTGGGACCCCATGTCACGATACCAGCTTAGAAACTTACTCTCATGTTCAAACTTACAGAGCTTTAAAATCAAGGGGGAGCAAGTAGTCAGTTTTAAACAGGAGTATCTGGCATATAATAAAGGTAAAAACTAAAAAGATGTCAAGATTGTAATCTGCCCTTAATTCTATAAACCTAATTTACCAACTATCACAGCTCTTCAAGTTTTTAATTTCATTTAACTCTTACAAAGACTGTGCCTGCCCAACATTTTCAAGACCACCTCTTATTCTTTCTTTTTGACTTTCTACTAGCATCAAAATCAGCGAGGTAGGACCTAAGTAGTTTTTCACTATGTCGGCAAAGGAGAGTACAAACAGTACTTCGACACATTAGACTGCAGACAGAGCAACTGAGGTGCAGGGTGCCTCAGCCCGAGGTCTGTGGCGGGGACAAGCATCTCTGACAGTCCAGTCTAACCCGGACGCTTGTGCCCAGGGGTGAAGGACCTCAGTGTGGCCATCCAGGCTTGTGTCTGCTCACACCTGGGTCTGCTTGGATCCTCTAAGGACATAAACCAAAAATAAATGATCTCCTAAAAAGTTGATTAAATAAAGTAAGGATACCAGGAATAGGGTAAGATGGAAGGCAAGAAGATTATTTTATAATTACTTCCATGAAATGCTCAATCAATATAAATACATAATCGTAACACATTAGAACACATTCTCGAAAGCGTTTAACAGGTGACAGTGGCAAATCCATTTGACTAACAACAACAGTGATTACAGCTTCCTAAGCATTTGCCCCGCACGGAGTGTCATACTAAGCAGTGTACTTTCATCTTCGCAACAGCTGCATGGTAGATCTCGGCTCGTTTTTGCAAAGAGGGAGACTGAGGCACAGAGAGGTTTTGCCCAAGGTCAGCCAGCCAGGCCTAGCCAACCCCCAAGTTTATGCTTTTGACCATCTCACGGCCCCAGGCAGATCATCCTGTCAACTGTCCTTCCTAGACATGCAGATTACTTCTGTATACTAATCAAGCCTATGGCAAGGTAGAAAAATGAGATTTTTAGGAAAGGAAATCCATGCGGGATCTCTGGTGGGTGCTGGAAGATGGATGACAGTGAAAGTGTTTGATGGCCCAAGAGCTGTTCTGGACCCTGTTCCGTGTATTTCCAGAAAATCCAGTTGCACAGAAGTTGTCAGACATCACTTCTGGCTTCTCCAAGGTGGGAAGCGCTGGAAAGCACCCAGGCTGCGGAGCATGGGGGGCTCACCACGGAGGAGGGGCCCCGCATGCTTGCAGGAGCACAGGGCCCAGGGTCCTTTAGGAAAGAGCTCTTGGGTGAGATCAAACGTGGATGGTGTCCAATACGCCCAGTGAACATTCTACAAGGCTCTACCCTGTATCTTTGCAGAACAGGCTCCAGGGCTGCCAATTCAGAATTGGCCATCTCTTCAAAATAAACAAAGCGGCCAAGGCCGTAATTTATCTCTAGACTGTGGAAAAGCCAGCAAAACTCAAAACCAGGCTGCCATCTGTGAAGGTGAAATGAATTATCAAGTGGCACACTAAATGGAATTAATAAATCAAGTTTGCGACTTTGCACACAGAATGAATAACGGGCTACTCTGCTAATTAATCCAGCCCAAAGCAGTCCATTTCCAGTTTAATAAGGGCTTTCACTTACCTTGCCAATCTTGACAGTTTCGGAATGTTCAAGGCCCAGTGCCAGCTGCTCCCAGGTCGGAGCCAGAGCTTTGCAGTGACCACACCACGGAGCAAAGAACTTGATAAAGTGGTCGCCTTCAGTGGAGAGCCAAGGCGGGGAAAGGGGAAAAAAGGCGCTGTGATTTACGTCATACCTAACTAGAGATTTAACTGAATAATCAGATATTTGTCCTCTTGCTTAGCAAATCTCAGTTTGGTATGAACCCTTTTATTGGTACAAAGGGACTCCCCACCAAATATGTTTCTGTCTATGAGTTCGTAATGATACCCCAAACAAAACCAAATTTGTCGTCTTTGATGGACACCCAGGAACCAACTCATTATTTGGAAAACTGGCAATAAAGGGAGAGAGTCAGGCACTTATCCTGGCTTTCCTACAGGAACTATAGCACTGAGTAACCCAGTGATAAACACCAGCAAATTTCTCTTGCTAAGAAGTCAAGGGCTGATTGAATTAGAGAATCAGCACTGGCAACCCTCAGGAATGCAGGGACCCAGACGCTGACTGTCACAGCCGCCGCAACCCAAAGAGACACATTCAGACATTCTGTGCTGTCACCACCAGCCGTGAGTCTTCCCGTGCCCCACTGAAACCGATATGTCCCCAGACCCAACGACCAATTCACAGGAAATGGGGAAATCAAAGAAACATGTAAACCACACCACAGGGACACGATCAGCAAAGTGCAGATTGTGGGAGGCTCTAGGGGTCAAACCACCTATGTCCTTGGCAAGAAAGAGGAGAAGGTGCGGATGAAAAGGGCCTTAACAGGTACACAGACCCCATGACTTGGATGAGCCCGGGAGGCTGGCGGTTTCCTTCCTTGAACCAGACAATGGTTACGGGGTGACTGCTTTACAACCACCTTTCAGGAGCCCTGCATTTGTGCTCTTTATCTGTGTTATATTTCACCATAAAATAGAAGGTTTAAAAAACTAAATATCACCAATATCACCCCCTTAGCTGTGTGGGGGAATCAAATCCCCAGTGCATCATCATTTGGACGTTGAAGATTTTTATCTAGAACGCTCTACTCTGACGTCAGGCTAATACCAAACCAAAATCAGGCAGTGACCAGGGAGAGAACTGACCAGTGGACCGTGAACCGCGGTCCAGCCTCCGAGCAGGACCCTGCCACGCTAACACTCCCGGTGCTGCCTCGTCACGCTGCAATAATGCATGTGAGGAAAACGCTGAAAAACTTGCTTTAAAAACTAGCAACTGATGTGCGAGGCTGAAACCACGTCTGTCCGGACTGGCGCGCCACCAGCCTGGTGCTGTGAGGTGGAGACGGGACCGCCGGGAACCCAGCTGGACAACGGACGGGCAGGCGGCAAGGGCAGAAGGCTACGGTTGCTTTCTGAGGAAAGACCCTCAGGTAGCAGCAGCACCACGTGGCATCTACACGACACCGCCCTGCAGCGGTGCCTGGCTCGGGGAGGGGATGCGGGAGCCAGGCTACGACGAGGCGATTTGGGAACACATCCCGCGCAGAGTGCGAGCCCGTCTCAACTCAGCGAGTTCCCTGTACGCGAAAACGCGCCGTGGTTCCACTGCCAGGCACTGGTACAGGCGAAAACACAACTTTAATAAAAACGAGGAAAGGCTGAAGGCATCATGGAAAGTCATTTTAGACAGTATGTGTGGCCGGGGGAGGGGCCCCCGCTGCCAGCAGGCACAAGCTATAAGGCCAGACGCAATTCTAAGCCCTTTCTCACAACGCCTTCAACCCGGCCTTCTAGGGGGCTGAAATCCAGGGGGTTTCTCTCCATGGCAGCATTTGATAACGGGAGCCAGCAAGGACCCCGAATGTGCTTTCGAGTCACTGGGTATCGGGTCCAGTTTTCTGAAACAATCTACGTGTGAATAAAGGGAGACTTCCACACTATTCACGGTAGGGAACGTACACAGAGCACTGTGATATTTAGGAGACCGTTTTCAAAAAATGAGATGTGGTACAGAAAGGTATTTCAAGTATAAAGAATACCTAATTTCGGC